CGCGCGGAGGTTTCCTTACTAACTCTTATCCTACTGACTGTCTTCTAAATCTAACCTTCCTATTCAACTCGCCCTACATAAAAACGCCTATATAGGCCCTTCCCCCGCCCAAATCCATGAAGTATCGCGTTCACCACTATTTCTTTTCTGCGCCCGAATCTTTCTTCCGCCATCCCATTTTCCCACATGCACCTGGTGCAATACCCAGCCAGGTTCATTTCACTATTTTCCCTTCCTCCGTGCACCTATTCTCTTTATTAACCCACTATTCTACTAATCCCTTACTAGAACTAACTTCACAGTCCACCTCGCCTACACCGATAACCCCCACCCATCACCTTTCCTTGCTTATTTCCGTTAGGAACGGCCGAGCTCGACTAACTCTCCTTCTCACTTTCGCCCCCTCCCCGCCATCGCTCTTCTACCCGTCTCAGTCTCGCAATAGACCCGGGCGCGGATCGCGTCTGGGTGCATTCACCTTTTCTCTTCGCTGTTCCTGCTTAGTTCATTGTTGCTCTCCCTTCAATCGGCCCCTGCCTTGGCCCCCGTCTAGGTTCAGCCTCTCTCTTCGTGGCCTCACCTTAGTGCCCCGTCGCTCCTCTGCCTTTGCCCGTGATACTCCATACTGTAGTGGCCAGCCCGACAACCGCAGCGCTCCGCTATCCGTCTCTCTACCTCGCCTTCCCTTGCCTAGCACTCGTCACCCCGGTCCCCAGATGCTGCGCAGTCCGACGAAAACTTGGGTGTCAGAAACAGGAAACGTTTGGCCGTCGGCCCTTTTCCTGATTTATGCACGTCACCCTGGGCGCGAGCCATGCTACTTCTCTGTATCGCTCCAATTCTGACGGATGTCCCGAGGGTCCTGCCCGGGGTAATGCCCTGCGGCGGCACCAAATGGCCGCTCGGCCTATTGCACGGGGAGGGTGGGCCAGACACCGTCCTCCTAGCCACTCCGCACGCACCCCGCTGGTCTGTACGTACCCGGCGCGGTCTGCGTCCGGGTTCGTTCCGGACCCTTGCGCACCATCCTTGTTCAGGGGCCATGCTAATCTCCTCGGTATCGTTCCAATTTTAACAGATGTCCTAAAGGACTTTGGCCGGAACAGTGCCCCCACGGAAGTGCATGGGCCACTCGCCTTGTGGCTTGACCGTTCGTGGGTGCGCCCACTACGGCAGGCTCTCGGCCATATCCCGAAAGAAAACGGGACCCAAAAAAAAGAAAAATACAACTAAAAAAAATAATAATAAAAAGACAAAAATATTAAAAAAAACCGTTTTACTACAAGATCTAAAACGGGAACTGGGAGCTACTGGCACCTCGCTAGTCCCTTAGGTCGGGCCCGTCACTACGCATGTCACCAAAACTGAGGGGGGGGATAGCCCCGTCGGGCCCTCAATCCATCGGTTTTCTCCTCGATGCTCCGCTGCCACCGCGCCGACGTCTGCCGGCCTCGATCCCCGAACCTCCGTTGTAATAGTCCGATGCCATAACCTATAGCCCAAGCCTGAGACCAAAACACGCCGAGTGCCATATAAGACGGTGCGGCGCGGCGCTTTGGGCCAACAAAAACGGCTGCGCGGCTCTCAGTGCCCACGCCGGCTTGCTTATACCATGCCATATTTGCCCCGCGCGCCATCCTACGACATCCCGCTCACGACACGAAATCACGCCATTATTTCCGATGTCGTCGTCGGGGTCGTTCTCCGCACGCGCGCTTGACCTACTAATCAAAAAGAAAGTATCCTTAATCCCTGCTTAATAAATAATAATAATATCACCAACCGAAACGACCGAGGTCCGGGTTGGCTTTACGATAAAATAACAGAAAATAATCACGAGCGCCTTGAACCTGCGCGCCCACGCACTCGCTATTGCGGTCAACCACCCAGTCAAAGCAATTACTGACGCAGCCGCGCTTAGCGCGGTATACTTAGACTCTAGACCAAAACTATTTTCTGTCACTTGCAAAAACCAGGGCGGATACCCTTGTAAGGGTATTCGCACCGACAGCGTCCCTCATCTCTCCCTCCCCCCCCTCGTCCCGTCGCGGATCCATCGCAGGCGCCGCACCGTGAAGCTCCTCAAATCGCTGTATCCGCTCTAGGAACTTGTCGGACATCTTGTACTCACTGTTATAGTGGATGTGGACAAGTGCCTCGTCTGTCACTTCCGGACATCCCTTGCCCTGGCGGAAATGGCGCGCCGCCACGAACTGGTTGCCCTGGAACTCGTGGCCGCAGAAAATGCACTTCAACATGCGATTGCCGTGGAATCTCTCGCCGAGATTCTGTCCCACGCGGATGTACTTGTACACGCAGCACTTCTTCTGCGCCTTCCGATTCTCGTCCTCCCCCCCATCCTCAAACACCCGAGATTGCCTTCGCGGCATCGTGCCCGCTCGCCGACGGGTTCACCGAAGCGGTCTGCCCCCAGCCTGTCCCACGGAGCTCCAACTCCCGCCGGCGTCCCTCCCCGCACCAGGCCTCGTCGGGCGCACCCCTAGCTGCCTCTCTCGTGTCGCCCCCCCCCCCCCCCCCCCCCCCCCCCCCCCCCCCCCCCCAACGGCCTCGAAACCCCGCACTGCGCCGCAAAAGCGACGCGGGCCGCGCACAGGTCCCTCCTCCAGCCCCCGTTCAAAAACTTTGAACGCGCGTTCAAAAAGTTGAACGCGTGTTCAAAGAATTGAACGCGCGTTCAAAAAACTGAACGCGGGTTCAATTTTTAGTCGCGCTGCGCGCCGAAAACATCCTCGTCGCCCGTCTGCTGCCGCGCTGTGTCGTCGACGTCGCTCTCTC